GAGTAGATATATTGACAGATAGATGGGTAGGTACACACCCCTCCGATATGTGTTTACAGATGCATAGAGTAGATGTATGGACAGATAGATGTATACGTATACTAATTATTATATAGACAGATACACATACATACACACACACACACACACACGCACACACACACACACCACACACACACACACACACCACACACACACACATACACACACATACACACACACACACACACACACACACACACACAACACACACACACACACACACACACACACACACACACACACACACATATAAATATATATATATATATATAATATATATATATATATATATAATATATAGAGAGAGAGAGAGAGAGAGAGAGAGAGAGAGAGAGAGAAGAGAGAGATATAGACAGAAAAGTAGATAGATATAATGATGATAATACAGACAGATACACATAAAAACAGATGTCAATGATTTAGGCAGATGGATAGATAGGTAAGTAGATGGATAGACTGATAGATCGATGCACAGATATATAGATAGATATAGATGTATACATACAGATATGTACAGACAAAAGCAGGGAAAGAAAAATTGAGAACGAAAGTAAAAGTGAAAGCGAGAGAAGGAGAAAGCTTGCGAGAAAGACAGAGATAGAAAGGGGGAGGGAAGGAGAGAGAGAGAGAGAGAGAGACTGTGGATGAGAGAGAGAGAGAGAGAGAGAGAGAAAGTGGAGAGAGAGGGGGGTGAGAGAGAAAGAGAGAGAGAGAGAGAGAGAGAGAGAGAGAGAGAGAGAGAGAGAGAGAGAGAGAGAGAGGAGTGAGAGTGAGAGAAGAGAGAGAGAAGTGGATGGAGAGTGAGAGAGATAAAAAAGGAGTGAGAGACAGAAGAGGAAGAAGAGGTAAAGAGCAAGACAAAAAAAAAAAAAAAAGAAGAAAAAAATTAGGAATAGATAAAACACGTAGAAAGACAAACATAATTGGGCAGGTAGCTAAAGATAGGTAGATAGAGCTGTAAACAGGGAAAGAGGAACGTAAACCAAGATTAAGTTTAGTTTAAGTGGATTAAGTTTATGAAAAAAAAATTTACTCATCTTAACCAAAACTTTATATTTGCTTCTGCATGTGCACAAGTTTTTTTGTTTGTTTGTTTGTTTGTTATTATAGTTATTAACGAGAATTAACAAGATATGAAAAATACAAACCTACGACTTATTTTCATTATAACTTCACGCTGACAGAAAATACATTTCTTCTGTGGAAATAAAAACCACAACATAAAGTAAATTATATGAGTAAGATTATCTATTTATCTTTAAGAAAGTTTCGTTTTTTTTGTCAGGCTTCGTTTGGGGCCCCACCCCATGGGAGGTGGGGGGGGGGGGGGTCCTCCTCCGCCTCTGCCCGTGCCTTCGCCATTGCGTGTGTGTGTGTGTATACACATGTATATACGTGTGTGTATATATACATATATATATATACATATATGTGTATGTATATATGCATATATACATATACATATGTATGTGTGTGTGTGCGTGTGTGTGTGTGTGTTGTGTGTGTTTGAGTATTTATATATATTATATATATATATATATAATATTATATGTATGTATATGTGTGCGTGTGTTTGTGTGTGGTGTGTGTGTGCCTGTGTGTGTATACGTGTGTGTGTGTGTGTGTGGGTGTGCGTGTGTGTGTGTGTGTGTGTGTGTGTTGTGTATGTTGGTGTGTATGTGTGTGTGTGTGTGGTGTGTGTTGTGTGTGTTGTGTGTGTGTGTGTGTTGTGTGGTGTGTGTGTGTGTGTGCGCATGTGTGAGTGTGCGTGTGTGTGTGTGTGTGTGTGTGGAGAGAGAGAGAGAGAGAGAGAGAGAGAGAGAGAGAGGAGAGAGAGAGAGAGAGAGAGAGAGAGAGAGAGAGAGAGAGAGAGAGAGAGAGAGTGAGAGAGGGGGGTGTCTAGGAAGAAAGAAAGAATTATTAAGAGAGAGAGAGGGAGACAGGATCAAGGTGAGAGGAGAGATAGCCAGGTAGACAGTGCGAGAGAGATCGAAAATGACTCTACTTTTTCCTTAAAGCGATGTCTGCGTGACTGGCGAAATGCTATTCTTCAAAGACTTCAAATACTTAAAAGGTTAAGCTCTCCTATATGTGTTTACATGACTGCAGGTTAACTTTCACACGCGCGCCACAAGTGGAGTTTCTCTTATCTACGTAACGCCTAATGCGCCATTGTTAGAACATACATACATACATACATATATAAATGTATGTGTATGTATGTACATATGTATGATTATATATATTATGTGTGTGATTATGTGTGTCTGCGCGTCTGTGTGGGTGTGGACGTGGGTGTGGATGTGGGTGTTGCATGTATTGTATTGTATATGTATTGAAAGTTGAGGAAAAATATGATTCTCATTATCTATTTATCAAATCATTAAATGATTATATTACTGCCATGGTTTGTTTATGCATTTTCGTAAAAAACAACAACAAAACTGTGAACGAAATTATGTGAGTCAGAAGGATGCCAGAGTAAGAAAATAAAAACTAATTTGTCCTCGATGATATGTAAAGATACAAAAAAAGAAGAATCATCACTTTCTTTTGCTCTATAGATAGCTCTACATAGGTGACTAGTATCTACTTGGAATGCGCATATGTTCATGTATTATGAGTCTTATATAATCTAAGAAGTGGTAGCATTCCATACCAATATTAATATTATAATGACTCCACAAGTTAACCCTTCTCCTGTAACATATGATGCGTAATATGAAAGAGAGCAAATTCTGGAAATAATATTTACACACAAAATTTCCACCGTGAAATACAAGAAATCGCCTATTTATTAATTATTTCTTAACAAACGACTCACTTACAGCATTAATTTGGATCCATTATAGCTCAACTGGAAATCTGCCCTGTGCACGCGAGCCCCGCAGCCAATCAGAAGCCTCGCCCCTCAGAAGCTGGATTCTGATTGGCTCTCGGCGCTGCTCGTCAATGGGCGTTTTATGGAGTGTCAACAAAGCAGAAGATCAGCAGACGGGAGACAGTGACAGAAAAGAAATGTAAGTGACATTTGATGTATGAATGAATTGAGATCCTGACGTCGATGAGGTAGAATAAATGCGAGTCATGTGTTGAATTTCCCTCGTCGATCCAAAGAGACGTAAAAGAAAATTGATTCTATACATGTATATTTGTATTGATGGCACGGAATGAATTCGGTTCTTGGTATGAATTACGAAGGGTGGTATCCAGAGCCCTTTATTGAATATACTGTATAGGGTAAAGGTTGGATAGAGGTTAAACGGCCTTAGTAGGTGGGAGGCGCCCCCTCTCCTTGGGCCAGGACACAGCGAGAGTCTGACTGCCCAGGATTATGAATCTTTTTGAAATTATGTTTTGTCTTATGATGAAAAAAGGAATTAGGGAGATTTTTTGACTGAATAGAAGTTTGACTGATACCCTGGGTTTATGGCAGGAAGGCAGAATGCTGTAATTATATAGCTAAAATTATTGTGAAGAATGAAACAGACATTCTCACAAACAATTTCACAATGTTCTATAATATAACATACATGACTTCCAGTGAAGCAGAGAGATCAACACATTTTGGTGAGATTGAAGATTCATTCTTTGCTATATTGTCTTTGTTATGGAAATAGGCAAGAACACATACACCATGACTTGCCTAGTTCTTACATAATTTACACAGTATACTAGTTACACCCCTGTAGCAAGATATATAGACCTTCATAGTCTTTTGTTTTTGTACAAGGGGTTTTTGGTGGAGGCTTGTTGACCTTTGCTGGAATGCAAAGTGTGGAGGTTGTGATGGCCACAGGACAGTGTATTGCTGTTATGTAGGCCATCCCTTACAAACCAAGGCAAATTTTCCTCTTTTCTTGTAAGTGGAAACTCAGAGACCATATCTGGAAAAGAAGTGATATTTAGTAATATAAATCAGTGAGAGATTAGGGTTTACTGAAGTAGATATTTTTGATTTTTGAGATCATGAGAACTTTGTGCCATAGATATATAAATTTTCTATGTAGACTATATTTCTTTAAAATATAATACCCTATGTATATGTCAGAAAGAGTTTTTCTTTTAAGCAGCCAATGATCACAATAAATGGTGAGGGAAATCTACAGAAACTAGTTATCAAGGTTTTAAACAAATATACCTGGAATTCAAAGTTTAAGATATAACTTTTAATAAATAACTATCTGAATAAGAATCAGATATTTGTCTGTAATAAATCCTTATCTTTACCAGATAACTTAGATCAGAAGAGAGACAGGAAGTGACGAGGTGAAAGATGTATCCAGCAAGCCCAAGACTGGGCAGGGCTCATCTTGGTGCTTCAACTTTCTTTGCTTCGGCTCATCCTAGTGAATCTTGCGGCAGCAATGGCCTGCCCCTCACGCCAAACTCCATACGCATATATGGCCGCGCACAAGCCCTGGGGCTCATTAATCATCCCCATTTGTGTGCTTATGTGGACATCCATAGAGGAAAACATGGTAAGTATTGCTGAAAAGTTTAATTCAAATTCATAATATGAGATCAAAGTGTATGTTTAGCTGTTGAAGCTCTAAGAATGTGAATAATCCCTAGAAGGTAATCTGAAGAAAAATCAGGAATTATTGGAGTATCATGTATTTGTAGCAAATTAAATCCCAATTATAAGTCTTAGTGTATGAATTTTTTAGTACCTATAGGAGGCTTATTTATGTATCTTTGTATCTTTTCATTTTATTCATTTAAACAGATCATTTTGGTACTATAAGAGGAAGGAATTACTATTTGCAAATTATTTTTCATTCATATATGATGAGTTCAAAGGAGATTTCCATTTCAGAAAGAATAATGGTAATACAAGAATACTATCGAATGAATTTACGTATGGCGGCAGAGAAGTATGAGCAGTTTAGAAATCAAAATGGATTAGCGCAAGTGGCCCATCAGGTAAAGATATTGTACAGTATGATAAGTTATGGAAAATTACATTTACAGTCTTTTTGACAAAAATGTATATATATATATTTATGACTATGTACAGATAAATGGATTCAATTAATCCATACTGCTTCTGTATGTCCTTGTAGAATGTTTGTGCAACCAATCACATGTATTACAGGTCATTCAAGGGCTTGTATACCTCAACAACTTTGGAACTGTGAACTGCAGCTTGAGTCCAGACAATATCTTAATTGATCCATGGGGAAAGGCAAAGCTATACAATTATGGACTCTATTACATGACAGAAGCAGGCACAGCAGTTTCGTTTCCTCTTGGGTTAGTACAAAGCTCCATTTCCACTAATTTTTTTTTATTTTATCAGTTTTAAAGTATTGTATGGTGTTGCTTTGTTGCATCATTCATTAACTTTTATTCAAAATGCATGTTCTAAAAAAAAAATTGTTGTTAGAGATCATAGTATAACTTTAATGTTTGATTGAAAAATGGACATAGTATGAACTGACTATGTAATTTTAAAACATTTAGAAATAGTCCAGTTCATAGGACTTACACTTGTAGGGTTGTGCAGTATACAGCACCGGAGGTACTGCTGCAGGGTGGGACCCAGGACAGTGGGACAGGCACTTCTACTGTGTCAGGCAATCCAGCTTGGGATGTCTGGTCTCTTGGCATAATTTTGGCTGAATTAGCTCTTGGCTGCAAGCTTTTTTCCAGGTAAATGTATGATTGAATAAACCTATGTTTGAAACAGACTATTATATAATGCTGAATTTTTTGAGTATAGAGAGATAGTTGGTTATATTTTTAACTCTCCTTTTTACCACAGGTATCCTAATCCTTGTGCTGGGTTCTGCTAAACTAATGACCTGTAGTGAAGTTTGCAAAAATGTTTTCATGTTTAAATTTCAGAACGGAAGGTGTAGAAAACATAGTAGGTGAAGTGTTGAAATTGACTCAAACAAATGATCCCCTTAAGTGTTTGGCCCAGATGCATGATGCTGTTGACAAACTTGATGTAAGTGTGAAATCTTAATGTTTTGATCGTCATTTTTAGTAAAATTTTTATGATGTGCAAAATGCTATAAATCAAATATATATTAGCACAGAAATGTGTATATATATTGGAATGAACTCTATATATTTTATAGAATTATATACTGTAAGTATATAGTGAGCTATGTAGATATTGGTTTCTGTGAGATAATTTAGTTTATCTTTTGTTTTGAGAATGTAGTATTGTGGTCAGTAGTTATCACTGATACCAGAAAATTACAAGAGCATAATCCTTTTATCAAAAGTATTTTTATCTGACTTTTCCTTGGATGAATCGACCTTCATATTTAAACATTTACGATGAAAAAAGCCCAATTGAATTCTTGAAAACCCTTCTTTATACACAGGCTCTGAGTGAAGAAATGAGAAACTTCCTCTGTCAGTGTTTGACAGTTGATGCTGAAGAAAGACCTCTGCCACGCAACCTACTGTCTCACCCGCTCTTCCAGCCTTTCATCATTTCCGCTTCTCTTGTGCCAATTCTTCCTCATTTTCCAGTCATTGATCCCTCTCTGTGCCTTGTTGACTTTGCACAGTACAAGGTATGTGTTTTCATTTTGCTTGGGTGAATATGAGTGGGTGTGTGAGTGGGTTGGATGCATGTGTGAGTGAGATAAGTAGAAAATTGTACTGATCTCCAAATGGATTATTTGATTTTATGGAAATTTTTGAAATAGATATAATCATTATCTTAGAAGCTATCTATTTCTCACCTACTTTTTTGCATAGTTGTGGTTTTGAAATATTTATCATTCTTGTTTTATCACTTGTTTGAAAAGATGGTGTTTTCTTTATTTTAGGCAAAATTGGGTGTTATGGAAGAAGATAAAGGTGAGATGCTGTTGGACTATCCTCTAATACAGGACTCAGAGGATTATCAGACCACACCTGTTGATGAGAATATGACATACAGGTATGCAAATTCTCTTTTGCTAGTATATATAGACTTCCTCCCTTCCTTCCAATTGGTAAGAGTGACTTTTATAGTTCTTTCTTGATATTTAGTTAGTGAGATTGTCTTTCCACTTATATTACAGTAATGTTACATATTTATCTCTTCATATGTATCTGTGTTATTATCATTATTTTTAATGATACATTGTTTAGATGGTCATGAAAAGAAAAATATACAACAGTATCAATGCTGAAATGGTAACTACTATTTTGTTTTCCTCAAAGCATGAGCTTTATAATTTCTTATCATTTTATAGGAAGTGCAAAAGAGATCAACTAAGTGAAAGAAGCATGAAGGAGATTTATTATATATGGCAACTAGCCGGTGGTAATGTTGAGCAAGAACTGAAAAAACAAAAATTGATCCGGACAAAGCCAGCCATATTAACATTGCCGTGGTATGTGTTCACTGACTTTATTGCTAAAGTGTAGTGTCTTGACGTGCATTTTCCGTGAAATTAGTGGTGTTTGAAACTCTTCTTATAGTATCCTTATTCCTTACCCCTTTAATATCATTTTGTTGATTGCAGTATAATGGGTGTTGAAGGAGAGGTCTTCGGTGGAGGTATGAATCGCCATCAGTTGTTGGAGGCAACGACAATCATTCTGCCTTTGCACAACTTGAGGAATAGGCTAGACCACATTCCCCCTGAAAAATATTATCCTCTTATAACACAGGGGTAAGTCTTTCATCCTTTGATTTATGATATAAGCGAAGTTGGTTATTATTTGTATTTGTGCTTATTATGGTCTAGGTGAATAAATTATGATGAAATTAAGCACATATAAACTTTAGGCAGGTATCGTTTTACTCATATTTTTGTACATTGTCTTAGTGAGTGCGGCACAGATGAACTAGAGACCAGCCAGCTTCCGTTAGTCATTAGAGAACGGGATGTGGAATACCAGTTCCATCGCTTATTGATCTTTGAGAGATTATTACAGGTAACAAGGCGAGGTATTTTTCTATTTCTTTCTATACATTGCTATCACTGATTTATGACTATATGATTTCTTTTTGTTTGAATTACTGTTTAATGTAATAACACAAGTTAAGGGAGTAAACAAGGATTGAGATGTAATTAGACAATGTGAAATGGATGAATTGCTAAGGAGTGGGACTTGATATGTGAATGAACTTTAATCTGAGTTATTTATTCTTTTAGGCCTATCCTTTCAAAGCTGAATGCATTCTAAAGGAAGCCAGGAAAGACATTCCGCCATTTTTTAGAGCCCTTGTTTGGGCATCTCTTCTGCGTGTTGATGGTGCTGTGGCACAGACATACCAGCAAGTGGACAAAGAAACCCCAACACCCACAGATAGACAGGTTATAATGTTACTTAGTTCTGTCTCTATTTTAGCAGTATTTTGTAGGTATTGATTATGATGAAATTTTGGATGAGACACTGGTTTTGTATTTATATATGTGTATGTTTGTATGTTTATATCTTTCTGTCTCTCCTTCTTGTTACATAATTTGTTATGCTATTTTATATAGTCACCAGTTTAACATGAATTATATATTATGTAAGTATTTTCATTAACAGATTGAAGTAGACATTCCTCGTTGCCATCAATATGATGAGCTGCTGTCATCGCCTCAGGGACATGCTAAATTCACTCGTGTGCTGAAAGCCTGGGTTGTATCGCATCCACACTTGGTGTACTGGCAAGGCCTAGACTCACTCTGTGCACCATTTTTGTACTTGAATTTCAACAATGAAGGTGTGTATGATGAAATATTTATTGATGCTTGATTGCCTTACTGTCTCATAAACTTTGCCTTTGTTGGCATAGATAGATCAGATTTAATTAGAAGAAATGAAAGAGATATCTCCCATCTTTTTAAGAAGAAACTTTTGGACTGTTTAGAGTATGGTTTCACATATTTCATCCATGCCCAATATGAGTGGAATACCATGTACAGTATCTTCTACATTTTTCTTAACTGTAACATAGTTTTTTTTTCTTCCTTTCAGCTCTAGCATACTCATGCTTGTGTGGATTTATTGATAAATATCTGCACAAGTTTTTCTTAAGAGACAATAGTGCTGTCATTCAGGAATATCTTGCCAAGTTTTCACATATGATTGCCTTCCACGATCCACAACTGTTTAACCACTTGGATAACATTGGATTTATCCCTGAGTTGTATGCCATCCCGTGGTTTCTTACTATGTACACACGTAAGCAGATAATTTTGTTTCATGGTTGCATTGGTTTGATATAGAAATTATTGAAAGGTTTGAAAGTTGCCTAATAAGTAGTTTTACAGATATGGCAGCAATTTTGCATAAGATAACCATAAAAAGTGTCAAGTAAATTCCATAGTGCTTGAAAGTACTAGAACTCCCTATTGTATATCAGTCAGTGGAGGTCCTGCTAAAAAGAGCAAATAAGGAAAGAAAGTGCTAACATTTGATAAATATGCATAGATTGCTGTTACCAAGGAGACATAACAAAATCTCTTTATTTAATTGACAGATGTGTTTCCTCTTCACAAAATTTTCTTGTTGTGGGACACACTGCTTCTGGGAGAAGCATCGCTGCCGCTGTGTGTAGGTGTTGCAATTTTACGACAGTTGAAGGATCGGCTACTGCAGTTTGGCTTTAATGAGTGTATTCTTCTTTTCTCAGATATGCCAGGTATGTTCTTTATCTGATCTTTTCTGATTTAAGAATATTAGGAAGAAATATAAGTGCTTAGTAATTATATTGATAATTCTGCTTTCTTTAACTTCAGTAACTACCTTTATATTTTTTTTTTTTGAGTAGCAAAAATGTAATAATCCCAGTATATAAACTGATGATAATCATCAAAAGTATGGGAGTGAGAAATATGTTGACAAAAGTAAAATACTTCTAGCAAATGTCGTGATATGAGCTGATTGTATTTTAAGTAAAAGGTATTTAACATAGTATTTGATTAGATATAAAATATCAAATAGAATGGGAATAATTTTTCATGCATAAATGTATGAGATTCAGAAAAAACAAAAAAACAAAGCAGAGATCTTTTATCATAGATACAGTATGATTAAAATCTAAAATCCTTTGGCATCCATTCTTAGATATAGATATGGAGCGTGTTGTGCGAGAGTCTGTCCAGGTATTTTGCTCAACACCTCCGTCAGTCACCTTCAGGCAACACGAGAAACCTCCAGTGGACACAAGCAAAGAAACGTCACCTTCTCCCCACCAGACACAGGCCAATCAAGACCTGGTGGGTGTGCATCTGGTTTATGTATATATATTTTTTTCATTCTCATCTTATAGTATTTATCATTTTATATTTTTGCCTTGTATTTTATCCCCCTATATTTCTTTTCATTATTTTGTAGTTATTTATACATTATTGCATTGTGATTGCTTGGTAGTATATGTATTTAAACATAATTGCTCTAGATATTGTTTTGATAGAAACAATAGAAAATACTGTATATGTAGGAAGTGATGTGTTCTCGGAGATGATATTGGACTTCCCTCCAGGTTATGGATGCTGTGTCTGTTGTTGAATTGAAGTCCGAGAAATGCCCGAGAGTTTGTGGTGCAGATATACTTGAACTTCTTGCCCAGAAGAGAAGTCGCAGTGGACGAGCAAAAGTTCTAGTAGTTGATGTTCGCACATCGGAAGAGTATCCTTTTATAACTATAGATTATTGTTTTTCTTTTTTTTTTTCTTTTTTATTAGATTGTAAGGTTATGTCAGATGAATATTAAGATTTTTTGTTTGCACTTCAGAAACTATTAATTTTGTATAACTGATTTTTTTTCTTTAGATTCCATTTTTTTGTTTGTTCTTCAGAAACTATTAATTTTCATAGTTCTTCATTTGCTTACATTAGATATTTATTTTCCATTCTGTTGCAGAAAAAAATCCTTGTTCATTTTGTTGCTGAAAATATTATCCTTAATTAGATAATTCAGATATGCTAGAGGAACCTTATCGGAAGCCATAAATCTGCCTGCCGAGTCTTCATTAACGCCAGAAAATTTACTCGCTTCCGGCCCTCAAACCGATGTACTGAATTCCTATCGTGGTAAAATAATCGTGGTCATGGGATCGCGCAATAATAGGGAGCAGGTAAATAAGGTAAGGCAAAAACTCATCCGTTTATGGAATGTCTTGTATCTTTAAGAATCTAAAAGTTCCTGTGAAGTGTGTCTAGAAAGATGGACGCTTAGGATGTACACTGTAAACCAGGCGTTAAATCATTCATTCAATAAAATTTTCTTTACTTGCTTCTTATTTTGATATATCTTTACGCCATTATACATTATTATGATTATGACTGACTTCCTTTGTTTTTCTAGTTCGCAGAGAGTCTGTTAGCACAGGAATTCCCCCGAGTTTGTACGCTGCACAAGGGAGTGGAGGTGTTCCGAGCATCAGGAGCACTAATGGTTCCATCGTAAGGCTCTGCTGGATAGATGATATGATTGCTGGTTATATATGACAATATTTTAAAATATTATAATCTATTTAAATATTCTTTATATGTATTGTATATTATTTATGAATAAATGAGAAATGTCAGTGCCGGGGAACAATAACCTTCAATGACTCAGGTGTAATGATGGTTGATACTCTTCTCTCATCCTCTGATGTTACATTTATTGTGCAGGCAAAATTTCAGTGTGCATTATGATGATTTACTTATTTATGTGGCATATCCCTCTCTTTATAGTTTTAATTCAGTATGGAATGAGGAAGAGTTTAAGAATGAAATCAGAATGTGATAAGAAGTTGTTATCTGCTATAGTCCCCATCTCAGTTATTTAGAATACTCATGGAAAGGTTACGAAACTGATGATATTTTTAATCAGTCTTTCTTAATTTGAATGGTTTTGCCTTTCCACTGTTGTTTTTCATTGAAATATATGCAACTTGGGAGCAAAGCTGATGTATAGTGATGGCTGTGTTAAGATAAACTGTACATACCAATTAGTATTTGAACGTAAATACATGTCATATACACTTACATATATCAACTGCTTCAGGTGTATTTATTTACATGCCTATTTTATACATACATGTAGAAAAAAAAAATGCAGAAATATGTGGACACACACACACACACACACACACACACACACACACACACACACACACACACACACACACACACACACACACACACACACACACACACACACACACACACACACACACACACACTCACTCACTCACTCACTCACTCACTCACTCACACACACACTCACTCACTCACTCACTCACTCACTCACTCACTCACTCACTCACTCACTCACTCACTCACTCACTCACTCACTCACACACTCACTCACTCACTCACTCACTCACTCACTCACTCACTCACTCACTCACTCACTCAAACACATACACACACACACACACACACCACACACACACACACACACACACACACACACACACACACACACACACACACACACACACACACACACACACACACATACACACATATATATATATACATACACATACATACATACACACACATGCTTAAATACACACACTCACTCACTCACCCATACGCATACAAGCACACACACACACTCACTCACTCACTCACTCACTCACTCACTCACTCACTCACTCACTCACTCACTCACTCACTCAACACTCACACACGCACGCACGCACGCACGCACGCTCACTCACTCTCACTCACTCACAAACACACAAGTTTAAATGTGCATCTTTGTATTTACGCAAACACGTATACATACTCTGTAAAATTCTCCATCTACACACTTGTACAATACATATATATTATTATAAAGTAGAGGTAAAATTATTGTTGATAATTATGTGCCAGACCAAGCAGTATGGATTTCCAGCTCTTTTAAGTAATGTTTTGTTTTGATAATAAATAGTACAGGAGATTCATATATTGTTGATATAAAGATCTGCTTAGGAAATGAAAGAAATTAAACCAAAGATTTTTTTTTTCTAACAAAAGAAAAACATGATTAAAATTGTTAATTTACTATCCATGTAATTGGAGTTATTTTTGTTATTTTGTTTTTATTGTTGACTTTTCTTCCTGGGAAATAGAGACCATTGTATGCAGTGTATCTTCCTATAAATGATCATGAAGAAATAAAATAACATAAAAGGCCATTTTATTATTTTTATTACTTTAAACCCAAAAATATAGTCACTCATAACAGTAAGAAATATATTTGAATAATTTTATTACCTTGTATTACAATTTTCGAATAAAGGAGAAACTTTCATATTTAGAATTAAGGAACAATTAAAATTCTTTTCATGTGCCCCTCACATCTTTCAGATCATTACCTTCCTCGAGTTCGCAATTAATATATTTCCTGCTTCAGTATTCCTCTTTGCATGTAACTAATGACCTTCCAATTTTACAACTCTTATGCATGTTAAATAGTAAAATGGTAAAACCAAAAGTCTCGGTTAAAACAGGGAGTAAGGTAATCAAGTATTGGGAAAAAAAAACAATTGAGGCAAGTCACCAAGTTTGTTCACAACTATCTTGTTATTATATATTCTTTGTCCTAGATGTTGCCCAAAGTATAACCCTAAAAATCACTGTGTATAATATTCCTTATGAACTCCCATCTTAAGTTTTCAATTGCGAGTAAGCACTAACTGTGAATGTATTTCATGCAGGATAAACCAAAAACATAAAATGTGGTTCGTAAAAATGTATCTTATTTCCTAAATAATGATACACTTAAGGATAAGTGTAGAACAATAACTATATGAAAAAGTAAATTACAAATTCATTATAAATCATTACCTTTTACCAGTCAATTTATTCTGTGAAAAGAAATTATGCTGGTATGTATTAGTATTCTCCAGTGCATAAAACATACCAAACTGTACCTTACAGATTTCCACACACTGTCATACATATTCTTTTTTCATCTCTTTTATTTTCTTGTTAGAAAGCTGTATTGCACAAGTAATAAATAAGGATAATAATATTCCTTTATGATGTGAAGACTATATATTGTAGCAGAGTTGTGACAATCTGATACATTGTACAGTATGGTTGGGAATCATATGTATAACTAAGTAGAAATGAACAAATGAACCTGAATATGCTTTCTGTACAATATATAACTCATTTAGGAGATCACTGGTAGAATGAATGCCGTAGCTAGATCTTCCGTCATATATCATTACCAGAAATATGGCAAATAAAAATCACCACTAACTGCATGGGCTTTTCATATTACCAAGCATAACAAGTCTCAGAAGAGGAAATAAAATCATGAACTTAATAATAACATCAATACAATTACACCATGACCAGAAAAAAATGCTGTTAAAAAATCTCATACTATTTGTCCAACTTCATACTTTTTTCAAATAAGAACAACATATCCCATGTCTTATTTTGTTAAATTATTTGTATATAAATGATTGCATAATTTCTTAATCACTGGAAAATAAACTACAGAACTTCAGTTATAAGAAAATACCTTAGTATTGACAAAATGGCAGAAAAAACACTATCCATTAACAGGAGAACAACTTCGACATCGCTCAACTTTTATCTCTTGACTCGAAGACTAAGTTTAGGATGATTTCAAACTTGTTAACTCATCTTCCAATAAACCTATTTTGCTAAAAGTGTTCAATGCTTGCACCTTTACTTAACATAACCAGGAAAGGAGAAATTTACACATCATACAAATCTGGGGGTTACTAAGAAGTTAGCATTTCCAGAACTCCATATGCACAATTCTGTGAAGCTATTATTCGCATCTAAAGGATTTACAAATTTTACATCTAACTGATTGCATTAAGTAAAGAAATAATCCAACGCACAGGAACTTTCAACCAGAATATGAAAGCATTTGCTCAAAAACATTATATCAAGTCCGTGCTCACTGGCTACATTTGATTATCATTATCCAAAAATTAAAATATGTCAGTAAGCCTTCCTATTCCTTCACAAACTAAAAACTTAAAGCTTTTCATTTACAATGCATCACCGAGAATGTATGTGTGCGTAGGTATA